ACGTGCGTGTGACGTGCGTGTGACGTGTGTGTGGTGTGTGCGTGCCCCCGCGAGTGTGTATTAGCAAGTGTGTATTAGCTACTGTGCTTGTGTGTACATTTGAGGAAACAGCCCTGGAAAAAAGTCGCCCTGGAAAGTGGAAAAAGAGCCCTGGAAAATGAAAAAGTAGCCCCCGAAATTTTGGGGGGGTTTGCAAAAAGAGCCCCGGAATGAAAAAAATTAATTTTTTCACTGGCGTGGTACTAATCACTACTAAAATGTAGAGGGTTGGCATTGCTGGACTATGAGAGAGCGACAGCAAAACTCTTTCAGGGAATTGGCGAAAAACCTACAATTGGGAATGACACACGAGTGTGCCGGCAGGGAAAATATACGTGTGAATTTCATTAGGATTTTCCATGGATTACCGTTCTATAATCCTACGGGTCGTTGGTCCTACGGGTCTACGTAGGCACGCCCGCAGGCACGCATGCAGGCACGCACGCGCACACATGCACGCGCGCAGGCACGCCCGCTGGCACACCGGCACACACAGGCACGCACGCGCGCAGGCACACACGCAAGCACGCCCGCAGGCACACACAGGCACGCACGCGCAGGCACACACGCAAGCACGCGCACAGACACACACGTATATACGCGCAGGTGGCGGCGCGCGCTTGATTGAATGCAATACAGTACAGTACACACATGCATGCTTAAATGGTAAACACTTGACAGTCACACCGTACCATGAATTCTACCGCGCCGTGGAACCGGCTGCCGCTAGCGGCTCATGTTTTCGGGGGCTCTTTTTGGCATTTCGGGGGCGAAATCGCCCGCCGCCCCCGTGTATTTTTCCCCCTGACTACTAGTACTACTATTAGTATTACTGTAAACAAAGTAAACATACTATTTAACATAGCTAACATCTACAGTAGTAAGATTGTAGGGCTATTTTAATCTAATATTTATTATGGGAGTCTATGTGAACCTAAGATTTTATACATTTCCTGCAATGCACGTTTATTTCATGTTACAAATACAAGCCACTCCACTGTCACTGAGGTGCATGCAGCAATATAATCAATCATGGTGATCGTGTATGATGTACGCTTCGTGCATAATCAACATGTTTAGGCACGTAGCAGGCGTACGTTACTACATCATCGACATGATAGCAAAAACTGAAAAAGTTATGCGAACACAACACATGATTATAATGAAAACCTTTTGGGTGCAGGAGCAACAAGCTGCATGTGTCGTTTAAATTATCACACCTGTAAATTGCACCTGTAAAATTGCAGGTAAAGTCTCTATTAGGAAGAATAGCCTTCTATGTCACTGTATCTACAAGGTCCCAAAGAACAGCAAGTTGGCAGTACTAGTATTTTATATACAGTTATATATTTATAGCACTTGTATGAATTTTTAATTTTCTGTGTTTTAAATTTTCTACAGACAGGAAGAAATATGCTTGAATATCAGAACCAAGCCAAAATGCTATTCCGAAAAATAAATGAACAGTCACCAATTCGCTGCAGTATTGAAACGGGTCCATATGTATTTCAGTAAGTATTTTTCCATGACCCACACATCAACAGACTTTCTGCAATTCGATTTTAATCTTATTACTTGAACTAGGACACTGTAAAATTTCTGTCAAATCAATATCAAAGTTGTATTTACTTTTATTAGTTTCACTACTCCCCTTAGGTTATAACTTATAAACAAGTCTTTAAACACTTGATACTTAGCCCTTTCAGCCCTATTGATCCTACTCAGGACAAAATAGCACATCATTAAAGATTCCAAAGGTTAAATTTGGGTACAATTTTAACACATCGCCTAAAACAACTGGTAAAATTGTTTTAAACAGGTTGCAGTTATTGTTCGATAATGATGCATGGCATCTCACCTCACCCGTTTCGTTTCACAGTTACGTGATGAACGCGGGTGTCTGCTTTCTGGTACTGTGTGACCAGAATTTTTCCAAGCGTGTCGCATTCTCTTACCTGGAAGACCTACGGAATGAGTTTGACCAGCAGCATGGCAGCAAAGTACAAAGTGTGGCGAGGCCCTACAGCTTCATAGAATTCGGTGTGTCTTATAGACAAGTTAACCATTGTTTAGCAGCTTGTGCTTTTTATTCAATAACACAGCCATTTATAATGGTGGTCTACCCATATTTAGTCATTTGTTCCATAATCGGATTTGGGTTTGCGACTTGGCGTAGATTAGTGGTGTGATGACTAGATTAGATCATTCATAATGAGTGTTTGTCCCCATTATAATTTACAGATACATACATTCAGAAGGCGAAAAAGAATTTCACGGACTCACGAGCACGGCGGAACCTGGTGAACATCAACACAGAACTGCAGGATGTTCAGAGAATCATGGTGCAGAATATAGATGATGTGTTACAGAGGGGTGAAGCCCTGTCAGGTATGCTTGTATGGGTGCAAGTTACAGACGAATGATGTACATACATGAATGTACTATACAAAGAAAGCTTCCTATCAAATGAACTTGACGATAAGCTCAGACAAACTTCCAATGAACAATGAGTTTTATCATGTCATCTTTCAATAAAGAAAACTATGCAGAGATGTATGAAAGTTTACATAGAGTAGAGGATCTTGATAGTATGTACTTTACAAAGCCCACTATATTAGTGCGATCAATCTGTGGTATATTCTCTATTTGTGTCGATTCGAATGCATAGTAGGCTCCATGGATCTAGCACATAATCTCAATAGGCATCAATAAACATAATTTTTATGAATTAAACAAGTGTTTTTTATGCAATTCTGATATAATATATGAGATGATGTAATCAGTTTATTTTATTTCAGTATTGGATGATAAAGCCAGCAACTTGTCAACGATGTCACAAAAGTACAAGAAAGATGCAAGATATCTGAACCTGAGATCGTCATATGCCAAAATTGGTGCAGTGGTTCTTGTTGTTGTTTTGTTCATGTTATTTGTGAGGTATTGGTTATTCTAGGATGTAACAGTCATGGGCCTCAGGTGTTATGATGTATAACAATCAAGTATATTGAAACAAACGTAGAGATTGCATAAATGTCGGCATTTGCATATGACCCGACAAAAGCTGTGAAGTGTCACACGTGCAGGTGGTTAAGCTAAATCAACAGTATGACCATGGCTTATCATAAACCACATACAGAAGCCAAAATTGAAGTATTTAAATTTATCGAATGTGGTAATGTCACGTTATTGGTACAGGTAATTTCTTAAGGGTGTCTTTTTGTCTGTTCTTTTTGGAAGCCTCTCGGGATGCTTTTATGGAAATATTTCCGTTTCTACCCATAGAAAGAAGGATATAGCAATATGTAGTTATATACACATTGATCATATAGGTAATGAATGTAAGGAGTTTGTTGTTCAGCTTACGCCTACACTGTTGCTGATATTTAGACAGGGTTATAATCAATGTTGCAGCATTGATTTCACATAAAGTTATGGCATTCCAGTTGCAGGCTTCTTTTATCATTTTATTAATAAGGGGGATGGAGGTCTATTAGAGGATGTTTGGAATATTAAAGCCGCACTATGCGCATCCAAACGATAATTTCTCCATACTAGACTAGCAAATACTTCGTGTCATGCATAATCACACTACCTTACGGCAAAATAAACTCTAGTTCCTCCCATTTCAGTGCGCGTTTGCTTAAAACCCAAAAGAAAGAGGTGCGAAATCTGGTAATCTGGCGCCAGCGCTAAATTGTTTGCCAAACAATTTCGCCAAGAATCGGTTAGGGGACATCACATGTTTTTATCTTTGCTACATCCGTACCGCAGCACCGCTCCACGGTTGCTTGGCAGAGCAACGCGAAAGTGTCAACAACATCGGAGAATTTGAATAACATTAGAGATATTTTCAAATGCCTTTTATAAGACAACGCGCAGTGAAATGGGAGGAACTAGAGTTGATTTTGTCATAAGGTAGTGTGATTGTGCATGACACGAAGTATTTGCTAGTCTAGTACCGGAGAAATTAGCGTTTGGATGCGCATAGTGCAGCTTTAAGGTTCCTCTCTGTATATACAAATATTTGTGTGTTGCTCAGTATGACACCTAAGGTTTTGTAGCGCAAAATATTGGGGAGTTCAATTCTGCCAATCATAACATGCTGTGGTGAGTCTGTGAGGTTCCATTTGTGCATTAATTTTATTGATAAAAATGTAAATATATTTGTTTCTTTATAAAAAAATATGAGTCAGGAACAATAAAGTATAGCGCCTTGTCTTTGCTAATATCAATGTTTAAGTCTATTTGAGGATTTTTCTATGAAAGGGAATTATGGAAATCAGAAACTTAGGTCACACTTGTAGCCTCAACTCGATTATTACGCTGACCTAAACCATACACTTAACTATAATTTCAATCATTATTACAAGGCCGGAATTTACTACGTCACACACTAACAAAGATTTGCAAATTAAACGTTTTTCGACAAGGGTTTTAATAACAGATGAATTCCACCAAGGCGAAATATATCCCATAACTTGCCCCATATAAGAAAAAATACCAATGTAAAACTAGAAAATTCTTCAGGACAGTCGAAATATTTTTTTATAATGTACAGTAGAATGAGGTATCACACAATTTTACCCTAGAAAATAAACAGGAACGCCAATAATATTTTGATGAATTAAATTTAGTACATAACAGACAAAATATTATTTGGAAACCCCGATTGGCTTGACACCACAGTTCAACGTCAGTACCATGTATAGGCAAAAAGGCTACATATAATTTTTTGAAGTTCCCAGGGTTTCAGTATGGCAGGTTTATGTTGGTAAAGCTGTTCACAAAAGGTGCATTGTAAACAACCCAGTCATCCCACATAATACAAATACTGTTCATACATAATTTACGATTAAATGTATATTAAATTTACAGAGACGTTTATTCACAATTTTATTAAATAGAGAATTATAACACATAATATTTACAATATAAGACACTGCACGAACAAACAGTTTAGACAACAGTATGTATTTACATTACAATGAAATGGTCAAGAAATCAGTTTCCTCGAGAGTTCCCCCTTTAGCCTGCTTCAAAACCTTCTCTAAAAAGATGCTAGAACGTCTAGTAAAACCTAGTGAGAAATTTACCGCAATTAAATGTGCAAATGTAGAACACGATTTTTATATAACTCGTGTGAATGCACACCAGTGCCAACATCCAATAAAATCTTATAGCGCTGCAGAAACTAGTGAACAAGTTACATTCTGAGAGTCCATCACAGGCATTTGTAGTCAGTCACGTTTACAATTATATTCCAGTAATATTTCAAAGTGGTCTCCCAGTCTCCTACTAATACAGAAATCACTAACGAGCCATTTCAACAGCGCTCACATGACCGTTAACGTGGAAACAAACGTGAAGTGCAGATCTGCACCAGGGCGCCATCTATCGACGAAATCAAGCAGATCACAATTCGCACGCTCTCCCTTTCACCCC